AGAAAATGACGTGCTAAAGTATCTGCACGCTGGAAGTTATTTTAAAAAGCCTTAAACAGAATTATATCATTTGTATGCTATTACTTGTACTGATAATTGAATACTGGAAGACAGAACTGTCTTCTTCAACACTGATGCAGTAATAACAAATGACCGTGAGGGTTAATTTTCTAGTTATTAGGTAACTGTTAGCTGGGAAATTTATAGAAGCGTGGGTGAAGTTATACATCTTTTCAGTTAAGATTGTTCAATGACCTGTTAGGAAAATTAGTCTGCTGCTGGTGTTCTGTCTGGTTTTACAGTAAATGATCCCAGTGCAGGCAACTTTTGTTTACTTGCTTGTTTTACTCCAGCATTATATTTTGATGAGTCTATAATGGCTTGCAAGTTTGCAAGTGGAAAAGAGCTTCCATCAGGACAGCTGCTCATAGTGCTACTTTTAAATCAAGTTCATTACAACTGCTGGACTTGATGGTGGGGGATGAGTACAGCTTTTGCTTTTGGTTTGTTGGTTTTTTTTTTACCTCAATTAACTGTTCCTCGTGTTCTTCATTATCTGAATCATATGTGACCTTCCTCAGGTTTTCCACATCCAAGTAAAGTTTTTTATAACCTGTTATTTGCAGTAAGGACATATGCAGATTTGTCTTAAACCTGGAAAAACAACAAATAACAGAAGCTACTAAGAGGGATACTCAGCCATAAATTCTTGCTTGAACAACGTTAAGAGAAGTCCTAAGCACAACATGAATGTTACAATTTGGAAGGGCTTTACATTTACATTTCATACTTCAGCATCCTGGTATTGCTATTTCGATGCTGTTTCTACTTATAAAACCACTAACTGTTTTGAGAGCTGCACAGTCAGGACCTTTTCATTTACATGCAGGGAAGTAAGGCCCCTCAGCTAAAATCTCTGGCAACACAAAAACTCCACACATCAGCCTTACTACTGTACCTGCACTTACCCCCAAGCTTTTTGTAAGCCTCGATCCAAACTATGATATAAATGTTACAACTTAAAAGGCGAGTTTCATTCTGAATAGTCAAACTTCTAGTTCAGGCCTTGCCCTCAATCACTCCTAATTATTTCTGGAGAGGAATGCAAACTATAATCCAGCATCATTATATTCTTTCAAATGTATGTGAATAACTACAAAGTTCATGTCACAACTTCTGTGATAACGCTACTCACCAGCAAGGAGTAGCACAAGTGACCTGTGAGATGCAGAGGTGGTTATCACCAACTCCTGTCAAACTAAACTTTGCAATTTATTTTCCAGAACTTCAACAGGACACAGCTGTACCTTATTTTCTAACCCTACAGAAAGGCAAGTGCTGAACTGTCTACTGATTCTATCAGACTAAGCAACAGCAGGAATGTGACAAGTCAGAACTGTTGGGCTTGAAGACCCCACATCAGACTTCCAAACGTACCTGACATCCTTCTGTTCAATTTTCTTTTCTGTCATTACATCTCTGACACACTTCTCTATTTCAGTTTCATCAGCATTTAGAGCATTTCTTAGAACCTAAGAAGTTCACAGAGTAGAAGACCCATGAGGAACGCAGAAATTTATGCAGAAAATTATCACCTGTTTTACTCTTGTTACTTCTCAGTCTCTGGATGCCTGTCACATAAGCATTCTTTAAAAACTGTGAAAAGCGAACAGTCGATAAATTGAAAACGTGTATGATAAATGTGCTCAAATCACATGCAACAAGATCTTCAATAATTAGCTTAATTATTAAATTTCATTTCAATAAAAACACGTACTTTGTAGGTGACCCACAAAAAATAAAACACCCAAGTTTAGGTTCTTGTTTCATACAATGATAGAATGGCCTGGGTTGAAAAGGACCCCAATGATCATCCAGTTTCAACCCCCTGCTGTGTGCAGGGTCGCCAACCAGCAGACCAGGCTGCCCAGAGCCACATCCAGCCTGGCCTTCAATGCCTCCAGGGATGGGGCATCTACAACCTCCTTGGGCGACCTGTTCCAGTGCATCACCACCCTCTGTGTGAAAAACTTCCTCCTAATACCTAACCTAAACCTCTCCTGTCTCAGTTTAAAACCATTCCGCCTTTTTCTATCACTATCCACCCATGTAAACAGCCATTCCCCTTCCTGTTTACATGCTCCCTTCAAATGTTTGCCTTCAAAGGCTGACCTGAAAAATGATCTTCCTAACCTCGATCTAAATAAATGCAGCTGTTAAGGAGCAAAAGTGACAAAACTTCAATAAGGAAACAGTGCTTCAAAATTAGGAGACAATAAACTAATGAAATTGAGGTACAAGCCCTGAGCTGAAACAGCAGAACTCAATACAAAATTCTGCCATTCTACAGCCTTCTAGAACAAAGGGCAAACGCTAACAATAACTACACCCTGCCCATCTGAAGTCACTTAGCGACTACTTTATTTCTGCTTCTGAACTTCTCATGGTCGCAGTGCATTCTCAATACCATTAGCACTCACACCAACACCATTATGTTTCATTAAGGCCAGAGGTAAGTCCTTTAGAACTGAACTGAGAGATGCTCAAAGACCCATCCATCTGAAGAGATACACGTTTGAGGGTGTTGAGTGTTAACTACGGTATCTAACTGCTAAGGAACACTCAGCATGAGCCTGTTAGTTAAAAGCCTACCTGCAAACTTGCACTTTTCCCAATGATTAGAGAATGTACTGTACAGGTGGCACAAAACTGCTCTCTCTATATCACCTACCCACGTCCCATTGCTGGTTTCTGCAAAACTAGCCTGGCAGACTGCTGTGACAGGGAGAGGCGACCTTCTCCATGACGAATAACTCAGTGCCACGACTTGTCTGACTGCTGCTGAGGAGCGATGGAGGGATGTAGGTGCTGGCATGCAGCACCCACAACAGCGTTCTTCTCCCTCCATCTCTTCCTCCTCTACTTTTTTCCTCCCTCAAAAAGCATTTTCAGGCACCTGCCTCTGTAATAAGGTTGATAATAACAAACAGCTACCTCGCTTTTGCACAATTTTATTATTTTTAATAATTACCTTATTTTTTGATGATCCCAGTGAATGCTCTGCAATGATAACACAAAAAAAAGTCACTTATACCGAACTGGTTTGGTTTTATTAGTTCCTAGTAGGCATTCTTGTATTATTCTGAGCAATTTTTGGATGACACGGGTATGGCGACATTAAAACCAACAGGTACCGAGCAACCGAAAGCCTTCAACCATTCGCTGGTTGTTGCTGATGCTTGTTGTCGCAGTACTGAAATCGGACTCGCGTTTGGCGGCATGCGACCCGCCTCCCTCCTCTCAGAAATGAATCAAGTGCATCGTTTTATTGCGTGGCTTTTTTTAACGGCGTCAGGGTACCAACATCAGCGAACGGCGCCGAGCTCCCCTCAGGCACCACTCGCCCATCCCGCAGGACGTACGCGGTGACGTCAGCACGCACACGGCTCCGCACGCGCTCCCGCGGCCGCCCCCCCCACCCCCGTTTACCTATGCCCAGCGTCCTCCGCGCGCCCTCCTTCGCGCCCTCAAAGACGCGCTGCAGCTCGCACTTCCCCGTCAGCAGCCGCCAGAGCCACTTCAGCCAGAACCGGAAGTAGCTGCTGTACAGCAACCCCCACAAGCGCGCCAACATCTCTGCCCGCGGGGAGCTCCCCTCGCCGAGGAGCTGCCGGCGCCCCTCAGCCCCGCGGGCCGGCAGCGCTCGGCGCCCCGCAGCCTCCCGCCGGAAGCCGCCCGGTGCCTTCCTGACCTGGAAGTGATGCCGGGAAGGGGGGGACGGAAGTGCCGGCTGCGGGGCCGCCGGGGAACGGCGGCTGGGAGGGGAGGGCGGCGAGGTTCCCGCCGCTGTAGCGGTGCGGTGCGGACCTTGAGTGGCCGTGCGGCCGCCCGTCGGTCGTAGGCATGGTAGGGATGGCCTGACGATGGACTGGGTGATCCTGGAGGTCTTTTCCAATCTTAATGATACTCTGGAGCTTTCTTTGCCACAGAGTCAGCCCAGGTGTTTGGTTTAGGACTGGCAGGCGCCTCCGTTGTTTTCCTATGAATGGTTATTTTAGTAAACATGGGCTGAAGCTTGAAGAGTGGCGGAAAGAATTCCTGTTCGTCTAAATTGTATGCAGAATTTTATTGGAGAACAGGATGGGAGCTGACAGACTTGCTTGGCCACATTCTGAGACGTTTATAAATGGGTGAAAATAGAAGCACCTTTTGCACACAATTGGAAGCCACATGGCAGGTCTGGTGGCCTGCATCCCAAGGGTGGTTCCAAGGGTGGACCAACACATTTGGCATCTGGCCCTTTGTATTTTTGCAACCGCAGGGATGCAGAGTTTCGTGTGGGGGAATCACTGTCAGTCAGCTTCAGTTGTTTGATTTCAGTTGTTTGTCTTAACATGAGCCTGCAGTGTGCCCTTGCAGCTCAGAAAGCAAATGGGATCCTGGGCTCCAAGAAGAGGGGTGGCCAGTAGGGGCAGAGAGGTGATTGTCCCCCTCTACTCTGCTCTTGTGAGGCCCCATCTAGAGAGTACTGTGTCCAGGTCTGGAGCCCTCAGTACAAGACAGGGAGCTGTTAGAGAGGATCCAGAGCATAGCCACGAAGATGGTCAGGGGACTGGAGCACCTCCCCTATGAAGACAGGCTGAGGGAGCTGTGCTTGTTCAGCCTGGAGAAAAGAAGGCTGCGGGGTGAACCTCACTCCGGCCTTTTAGTACCTAAAGGGAGCCTACAAACAGGAGGGGAGTCAACTCCTTGAAAGGTTAGATAACAGCAGGACAAGGGGAAATGGTTTTAAGTTGAGGGTGGGAGGGGAAATTTAGGTTGGATGTCAGGGGAAATTCTTTACATAGAGAGTGTGGAGGTGCTGGAACAGGCTGCCCAGAGAGGCTGTGGATGCCCCGTCCCTGGAGGTGTTCAAGGCCAGGTCGGATGGGGCCCTGGGCAGCCTGGGCTGGTATTAAATGGGGAGGTTGGTGGCCCTGCGTGTGGCAGGGGGTTGGAGCTTCATGATCCTTGAGGTCCCTTCCAACCCTGGCCATTCTGTGATTCTGTGACTTCAGGTCTGATTCCCACTCTGTGGGGAGAGCTCCTTAGGTACAAGGAAAAAGTCTTTTACAGTGAGGGTGGTGAGGCTCTGAAACAGGTCACCTAGTGTGCTGTGGTTGATGCCCTGTCCCCGAAGGCTTTCAAGGCAAGTCTGGATAAGACCCTGGGCAACCTGATCCAGCTGTGGTGTCCCTGTTCATTGCAGGGGAGTTGGACTTGAGGGCCTTCAGAGGTTTCTTCTAACTCTAAGGATTTTATGGTTCTATGGGAAGTGATGTGTCTTAAGAGATGGCAGGTGGTCATTCATTTTTTCCAGTGCTGCTTCTTAAATGAGTCATCTGACTCTTAAAACACTGGAGTGCTACAGGATAAAAATAAACTAGAAAGTATTTCTCTTATTTGGTGACAGGGGGGTGTGATGGTTGTTGTCAGAACAATCTTTGCTTCAGCAGCAGTGCTGTGTTACTGCTTGGGGAGACGGAGGAGTTGCAACGACGTGAAGAAACACGGGTAAGAAATTGAAGGGTGGTCAGGTCCTTCCTGTCAGTCTCCATGCCCACACATTGATTGCTCTGAGATAGCTGATGAGGAGCAATAGCTGCTGGATTTAGTTCGAAAGTCCAGCAGGTGCATCCTCACAGTGTGGGTCTGTGCAAACGACGTGTAGGGGAATCTCAGCAGATGGCAGTTTTGTTGGTGGGTACCAAAATAAAGCCTTCCTACAATCTGGTTTAGGAGTTCAGCTTTCCGTTGGGTATTTTTAATTACTCGGAAATATCTTCATATCAGTATGGCTCCTTTATTCTTTCTTTTCAATTATGTTATTTATGCTTACATAGAAATCCCTTTTTTTATGGATTATTAGGAACCAAAGGCACATCTTTTTGTGCTTCAGGTTTTGGAAATTGTTTCGCTTTGTCTTGTGGTAATCTTTAACTGTAGACATTCAGAGCACGCTACTGTTGTCCTCTCAGTTCAGACTGCAAAGAGTACCTGGTGCTGATGATACATTATGATTAGACCTGTTGCATTAAGCATAAAAAATACATAGGTAAAGTTGATGATACATAAGTCAGGGATTTCATGCACGTTAACGTCACTCTCTGTTCTAACCTTGACGGTCTTTTTCAGTGTCTAACAAGCAAGTGCAAACTCTTAACCCATACCTTCATTTGGTTCTTTTTTGCAACTGAGTGGTCCAGCAGAGGACGTCTGCTGACACAAATGCTTCTGGTTCAGTCTGCATCATCAGTTACATTAGGACATTCAACAACGTAAAAGGTAGCTTAAGAAAACAGTCCTGATTTCTTCTTTTTGTGTTCAGTCGGTGCCTTCTGCTACCACCTTCAGAGAGACTTGGGCTTCAGGAAGGATAATGACCTACTGTTCACCTTTTAAAACTACATTTCTTAAATGACAGCAGGGCAAATACTTTAGCCAGCAGTATCAGCTGGATCTCTATAGTCAGAAAGCGTTCCATGGCAGTGACTGTTACCTATTGTTACGGGTAGTTATTCTTTGTTTGTGTACCCTTGGAGATGAAGGACGGCAGCAACGTGCAAGCAGAATAATCCTGTTAGTTGTTTCACCTGTGAGCCCGTGTTTTGTCAAATATTTATTTTAATCTTTCTTATCTCTATTCTTGCTTTCGCAGAGATATATGAAAATAGTACTGAAAATGCAACTTATAAGAAGAGACGTTCAGTTAAAGCACATGAGGACGAGCCTAGAAACCCCTTCTGGCAGGTAAACCATCTCAGTGGAAGCAGCCTGCTGAACTGCTAGCTCAGTAGAGGCGGTAGGATTACCCTGTGCTAATATGTTCTACTTATCTGTTCTTACCAGTTGGGTGGGTGGGTTTTTTTTTTAAATAATCAGTATGCCAAAAATGCTGCTGAGAGGTAAGAAAAGGAAAATAAAAATGCACATTTTACACTGGTCTCAAGTAGTTCTCGAACACCTGCAGTGTATGAAGAGAGCACTGGGAGGAAGATGTTAGGAAAACATGAAGCAAGTAGGAGAGGCCACTTGCAAGCAGGTCCTGAGGCAGTGGAATTATTTTATGTTTCCACTGATGAGGTATTTGGATTTATTACTTTTTTATAGAAGCAGTTAATGTAGTACCTCATCTAAAGTTAATACACCAGTCTTGGTCAGCGTAGAGTGAATGATCATTACAAGTCAGCATGGCTAAATATCTGTTCTAGAGTTGTCCTTATAAATAACAGCTAATGCATTCAGATGTTCTCTGAACAATATGCAGGTTGATCAGTAGCTATGTGATAGTGATACTTTTCTAACTGGCTCTGAAAAGAAACTAAAATATATGTTAGATGTCTGCTATTCTTGCCTTCAGTATTCCTCCATCATATGCATGTTCACCTTGGCTTGGTAATGTAAGCACAGCAGGCAGGCAGCTAATAGGCATTCAATTCATTGTGTATGACATAGTTAATGTTTATCTGTTTCTCATAGGACTACACATCTATTTTACTAATAACATGTCAAAAACTGCACTGATCTTCCATTCAAAAGAGTGTGCTGAGCTTTTCATGTGTAAACTTGGAGAGAAGTGGCACTGAGGAGGCAACAGAGCCTAAGAGTGCTGAGTTGTAGTCACACCGGTTAATAACAAGAATTGCTGACACTTAAAGCAATTGTAATTTCAAGAAGATTTCTCAGTACAAATATCAAAGCAAGATACAGTGAAAGAACAGAAGGATAACAGATGGAAGAGGGCAGTGTAGTGACTGAGTACAGATCAGGAAGAGTAAGTCTAGCTTCAGGTTTCCAGGTGATTCACAGAGCCATGCTCAGAGCTGAAGGTCTCTATACAGATACAGGCCACCTAATGGTTCCCTGTGCTATTAATGAATAATAAGATTTGTAACTCAAAGTATCTATTAAATGGATAAGTAAACCTGTCCATAGAAATGTTCTAAGACAGGAAGGCTGTGGTAACCTAACAAAAAATGACTGATTTGCATGGGAGGTAGACCTGTGAACAGCTGTTGAGCGTGTCATAGTGAAAGGCAAAAACTGCTCACGGATAGGTGTGAAAATGACATTTTTTTTTCTCATAAGACCTAGTGGCTCCGTTAAAACCATGTCCGCAGAGCAGGATCTGGGAGGCTCTGTGAGCAGGATTGCCCTTCCTTTATGTTATGGGAGATGTGTTCTGCTGCCAATTACTCAGAATGGTAGATTGGCTTGGGTTGGAAAGCTCCATCTGGTTCTATCCCCCTGCCATAGGCAGGAGCACCTCCCACTAGAGCAGGTTGCTCACAGCCCCATCCAGCTGCCCTTGGAAACTTCCAAGGTAGGAGCATCCAAAACCTCACTGGGCAACCTGTTCCAGCATCTCACCACTCTCACAGAAAAGAACTTCCCAATATCTAGTCTGAATCTACTGATTGAGTTCAGACCTCAGCTGAAAGTGCATCCTTCACCAAAGTCAGAATCTTCCTCTGTATCCAGTGCCTCCATACAGTGGCCACTACATACAGGTCTGCTGGTTTGGCTTGGCTTACGGAGTGCCAAGAACGTGCAGGGGAAGAAAAAGGTGTGTGTCTCCTAATGGCTGCCAATGGTTTACCTGTGTGCTTTAGATGTCATCCAGTTAGAGTTTACTTCACTTTTGCAACGAGGTGGTAACTGGAAGGCTTTGTTTCCTCAACTGACCGTGTACGTTGCAGCTGGACCTCTTGGTCCGATCGTACAAGGAACGTGCCACCTGCACCGTTGGTTCTAAACGCCTACAGACAAAGCGGCGTCGTAACCACCAGCAACGTAACCACGTCGATGCCGGCATTCGAGCTGACAGCCGACCCGTGCCGCAGCCGGGGCTGAGGAGTAGCGGCGGGGCCGTTAGCGCCCGCGCCGGGCGGGTGCCTCGCTGCCTGAGGGGAGTGGGGGGAACCGGGGGCGGGCGGCTCGGAGCGGACACGCCCGTCGGGCGAAGCCGGGCGGCCGGCGGGTAGCCGGGCACAGGAGGCGGGAGCGCCCCGCCGGGAGATGCGGCTGAGGAGCGGCCGGCTGCTGGCTGCGCTGTGCCTGGGCGCCGCCTTCCCGCTGGTGTGGTACGCGGCGCTGCAGGGGAGCCGAGGTGAGAGCCGCCGTCGGGTGGAATGGGAAAGCCGATGCTGTTTTCCGCAGATAAAAAGTGGAAATCTCTCCCTGATGCCCTCGGGGCCGGTAGATGGCTTGTTATGGGATAGTTCGTTTGGGATGGGGAGAAAGAGTAAATCTTGAAGAGCTGTACGCTTTCAAAGTGGGCTGGATTTAGGAGGGAGAAGATTTAAAGTAAGCCAGTTATTAATTAATTGCACAGAACTCTTGTCCTCTGCTCCGTTTTGCTTATATTGATCGTTTTTGTGAGCGATAGAAGTGGACTTGCAACGCAATGCTGAATATTGCTGAGCAGTGCTGATCTTCCTGCCTGTGTCATTTCGTGTCAACCTTACGGCACTTGACACTTCAAGTGGCAATTCTGCTAACAGTGGGGTAAGAGAAAGTACAAATAGACATCTCTTAAGAAACTAAGATCCAAGAGATGGTAGAGTGCTTGTCCTAAGCACAGTTAACATCCCTGTCACCGTTCTGTTGTGGCATGTGTTTTGTGACACCTTTGCTGAAATGCCGTTTTTATTCAGCTTCCTTTGTGCCCCTTCTGTGCTGGTGTGCTGTGGGTTGCTAGGTTCGTACCTTTTTATGGGTGTGTTTATTCTTCCTTTTATTATCTGTATGTTGGTCTCCGCAGATGGCTCCTTCTCCATAGCCAACTCCTCTCAGATAATATAACTTTCCTAGTTATTTTAACACCGGTGTTGTTAACAAGCTTTTAATTGCTCTGAATGTTAATACAGTGCTCAGAAGCTGTCTCTCTTGAACTTGAAACATCTCACAGATGTGCAAAAAGTTAATAATCTTATCTAAAGGAACATATGGTAAGTTAGTTTGTGCTGGTAATTTCACTGGAAAGATGCCATTCGTGCTCCTGAGCATTGCTAGAAGATAGCAGTCTCCCATGTATGCCACCTGGAACCCCACAAACCACCACGTGTTGTTCCTTTTTTTTTTTTTTTTTTTTTTTTTCCCCAGTACGAGAAGGATTGAGAGCAAACCAAACACTGCCTCGCTGTCGAAGCAGAGGACCTGCCTAAGCATGGGCTTGAAATGAATGCTTCTTCCTGCAGCGAGCATTTACCTCTGCCTCCCCCCCATTTTACTTCTTGTGGTACACCCAGAGCACTGCAGGAGTTCTGCTTTGCTCTGGTCTCAAAGGTGATTTGTTTGTTTCCTAATGCCCTTTTCACTTACCTCACCTGTTACTGAGAGGTCAGGTGCTGTCCGATTGCTTGTCACAGCTCCCATTTCTTTCACCAGTTTGTCAAATGTGCTTCTTTAGCTCTTTTTTTTTTTTTTTTTTTTTTTTTTTTTCCAACCTCCACTTGCTTTTTTTGCTTATCTGATGCGCCTGTTAAACCATTTAGGCTGTTCTTGGTCTTTGAAGGGTGTGTATCACTGAAGTATGCCCTTTGCTTTCTGGTCATCCATGGTTTCTTGAGTTGTGGTGTTACAACACTGAGCTTGTAAGTAGCTTTTTGGTTTGTTGTCTAACAAAGCATCGCTGCTCAAAAATAGTGATCCTATGTACTCTGATAATACAAGTGATATCTAATAGCCTTGTATACTGTTGTGCACTTTGTAGCATTCCAACCCTTTGGTATTAGATAGAAGTGTGAATCAGACTCTGTGCTGATTTCAGTGCAGCTCAGAAGTAGAGACCTTTAAATGCCTGGTACTAACGTGCTAGTTACCTGGGGAGATTCTCATTGAAAGGGTGAGGTGTAATGCGACTACAGGTAACACAGACTGGCGTTGCAGGGACAATGTTCATCATCAGTTCCACCCTTAGAAATGAACATTTAGGATCTGACAGAGTCACTAAGCTGCAGTGGACTGGTTCTTGCCTCTAATATTATAAACATTTTAACTATACTTGAAAAGTTTTCTCATTCAGTTTTCCCTTACTTTATAAACAGGTACAAGCAGAGGTTTCGGCTTCAGCAGGCTGACTGCTTCTTGTGGCAGGAAAACGATAAAAGTCATTACAAAGACAATTGGTAATGGCCACATCTGCAGCAAATCGTGTTACAGTTTGTCTGTCCAAACTTGTATGGTGATTCTTTTAGCATTCTCCAGAGTGCTCGCAGATGTGGGCTGCTGTTACCAACCAGCCTTGTTGACTGGTGGAGCAATACCTGTCCCACATCCTGCGTGGTTTGGATCTGTGTTTTTTGGTCCCTCCCAAGGCCCTAAGCAAGACCTGTCTGAAGCAAGCAGTTTGCATCTGAGGGTAGGGAGGGCTGTGACCAGGATGATGCAGATGTTTCTGCTGTTACACAACCTAGTTACAACCTGCTTATTAATTCACCTGGCCAGAATTATGTTCCTTCATATAAAGACTCGTGAAAATTTATAGTTATGGAAAATAGTATGTGTGTTAATAACAATGTATGTAGTGATTTTCTTGTACAGTTTCAGTTAGGGTCTTGCATGGAATACCACAGGTGCATCAAAGTAGAAGAGTAAGCCTAAGAAGGTCACGGATCTTTTTTGAAAGCCAAGAGTACGTTATAAATTCTTTATGAACTCACAGGAAATTTGTTCTCTGAAAAGACTATTTCCAAATTAGAAATAACCTCAGTGATGTGACAAGTAACAAGGGCTTTACAGAAGTCGTG